TGCTAAATTATATTATTTCTTTAAAGCTTCTAAAGCTTTTTTTACAATATTATCTACACAAAAATGTAAATTTCTATGACATATTACTAACATAATCAGAAACTTCTTATAACATAATACAAGATAGCTTTCCATTACTTTTTGTTTGCCTCTTAACTATCTCTGCTCAGAAGATATGCTAGTTGTACTATAATGTCTATATTTATCAGCAGTTGAACTCTTCGTAAAATACTCTTCTATACCACAGCTTTAGAATGTCTACTTTTTTTTTTCTATAATAATTGTTAATTATCCGTAGTTACAAAAAATATTTTAAATTTTGAAAAATTCTTTATTATTTAAAAAAAAAGATATTAATGAAATACTGTAAATGAAATTACGAAGCAGTTATTTATTACAAAATCAGTATTCCAATCACTGATATAACTCAAATAAAGTTCTAATTTTATATATACAAGTAGTTAGAGAAATAAAATATTGAAATAATATTTGGATAAGTATGAGATCATGTCATAAAGTATATAAAAAAAGTGATTTTGGAATCTGTTAGATGCCTTTTTTCTTTGCTACAAGCTTGATGTAAGTTTAGCTCATCATTAATATTATCATATATTTAAATAATAAGAAAATAAATAAATAATATAGTTAATAATTAATAGAAAACAATAGTGGAATCTAAGAGACAAGTTCTAGTTTAATGGCTATGGCGAATATTTTGAGAAACGAGGTTGAAAAAAGTCAGAAACAAAATTTGAGAAATAGTTTGAACAGGTTGATGATTAATACATTAAAAGTAGTATGTAGAGAAGAGAGTTTGTCTAAAAAGGGAATTAAAAAAGATTTAGTTGAGAAGTTAGTAAATAGAGTACTTAGTAAAGCTAAAGAAAAAGACAAAATAACAGATAATACTCAGGTTGAAAATGTAGGGAAGATGATAATAGATTTTAATGATAAGAAAGGTTTACAAGATAATAATTTTAAGAACAGACCTTTTGGTAATACTGATAGAATTAGGTATAGGGGTTCTGATAGAGTTAGGTTCAGAGGTTATGAAGGTTATATAGATTTCGATTAGCAATATATAGTCCTCGAATGATCAATAGAAAAAATAATACAAGTTATGATGGAAAAAGTAGTCATAGAGATTAAAAAAAGTATTTTGTCAATATATAATACAAAGGAAAATAAGTACTAGACTAAGGAAAAAATAAATAAGGCAAGAGATCAGTTTGAATACGATGAATAGTGCAAGGTTAGCAAATATTTAGATAATACTATTTTGAGTAATAATTAGAATATAATATTAAAAGCATAGGAAGTAGTAGTTACAAAAGCATTTATGTTAAGAATAGCAAATCAAAAAAGATAGAATATTGCAGCAAAAATCAGAGAGTTATAAACAGATAATCTTATGAAAGTTTTTTTTCATGATAAGTTAGCAAGTACAAGACAAACAGCAAAAAGTAAAAGGCAAAGGTTAGATAAACCTATAATATCAGAATTAGCATTTAGTAGCTCGCCTATAGATGCAGGAGGTTCAACACTAAGTCAAGGGATACAATAGCCATTGGTTTAACAACCCCTCTAACCTTTGCAACTTTATTATCCTTTTCAACTTCTTCAGCTAGATTTTAATTTAGAAGCAAGATCATTTTTTAATAATATAGCTTTTTAGGCTTTGTACCAAATACAGAACCTGCAACTATATAATAATCAGAGAGACTCCTAAGACAGGCCATGGGCTCCATAGCAAGGTTAGAGGTCATATAATCTGAGCAGGTCCCCAAGGCAAAACAGAAATACAAGTATAGTATGTTTTATTTGTGAAAAAAGAAGCCATATTACCTAGGACTGCTCTTAAAAGAAAATGAACTAGCCCTTTCATAGATCTAGTTCTAGAGTTAATAGAAATGAAGGGAGTTAACTATATTCAGAGTATAGAAAGTATACTGTGAAAGGAAATAAGGCAGAGAAAGAAAAGAGTAGTAGGGAGAGTACATCTAGAGTCATCAGTAAAGTATTAGAGAAAGAAGATAAGATCTGTAGCAGTAATAATAATGTAGTTGAAAAATAGAGTCCTACTTTTTGTCAAAGGAGTAAAGTCATTAGCTCAAATAAAGGTACTAAGACAATTCAATTTAAACAGAGATAAGTTGGAGTGAGTTCAGTTAGAGCTAAAGAGATTGAGAGAGTTAGATGTAGTAAAACTAGTTCATGTAGAGGAGAGAAGACTAGACATCTTATTGGAGATAAGTCTGGTCTTTTTTGTACTAAAGGTAAGGCTAAAAAAATACCAGTTAGTAATAAATTTAAGGAGATTGAATTAAGTGTTGTCTAAAAAAACTTTTTGATTCGAAAGACTCAGTAGCTTCTTAAAGATAATTGAGAAAAGCTAATGGGTAATTGTATTCAATTTGCAGGAAGAATATCATTACATCTTGATAGATGAATGGGCTTAACATTTCTAGATTTTCAAATAGCAGAAGAGTAGTTCCATTATACTGTTCTCCTGTTTGGCTTATACTAGACCCTTTGGATATTCTTAAAGCTAATAAGAGCCTTAATTGAAGCATAGAGGTCATAGGGTATCTTCTGCAAAACTATATAGATGATTTCTGAATTGTATACACATTAAGAAAAAAACTGTTACAGATAAGAGATCGTGTTATAGAGATCAATCTAGAAAGATGTGAGTTGGTAAGGGCATTAGACAAAAGGAATTAGAAATCATCAAAAAGAATAAAGATTTATAGACTTTTGGTAGATACAGAGAAAGATTTAGTAGAGATTCCAGAAGACAAGCTCTTGAAAGTCTAGAAAGAATTAGTAGATCTGAAGAGACTTCAGTTAGTTTCAGTAAGAAAGTTAGCAGCAATAGCTAGAAAGATTCAAAGTTTATTATAGGCCTTTCTACTAGTACAAGTAAAGTGCCTGGAACTGTATTCAATAATAGATATAGCAAATTGGAACTGTTAAGAATAGGACAAAGAGGTACACCTAACTATACAAGTAATAGAAGATATAAAATAGTTAAAAGAAAATTTAGTGAGATAAAACAGAAAACTAATATAGAAACTAGCTCAGATAAAAGCAGTCTTTGTGGATATTTCAATAATAGGTTGGTATAGAGTTTACCTAGACTACAAGGCAGTAGAAAATTGGCCAAAACTATTCAAATCAACAAAAATAACATAGTTAGAAAGTCTGGCTGCACTAAGAGCTCTAGAGTTCTTTGTAATATGATTAAGATACTTGTGGATAACTATTTATATAGACAACAAAGTAGCTTTGAGAACAATTACACAGAAAGGTCTATGCTTATAGCAAAAGAACATAGTGAAGTTTCTTTAGAAGTTTTGTGCAGAGAATGATGTATGGGTGCATGAAATTAGATAGGTTCTAGATTTGAAAAATCTAGTAGACTTTCTCATGAGAGTTTGAAATATAGGAAATTAGCAGTTAGATAACTAGATTTTTAGAGGTCTAGAAGTAAAATAGAGAGTAGTAACAATAGACTGTTTTGTAAACTACCTAAACATGAAGAAAAGACATTTCAACAGTTACTATTTTTGCTCAAATTCAAAAGCTATCAACTATTTTATCCAGAATTAGTTAGAAGAGATAAATTATGTATGCTCACCTTTTGAGCTAATATACTAAGTCTTAATACATAGTTGGGAGTACAAAGCTCAGCTGTTGTTAATTTTTCTGGAATGGAAATTAGCACTTTGGTAGCTAATGTTTTTAGAAGCACTGAAGTAAGTAGTAAAGTTATTACTAGCAGTAGAGATTATTATTTTAGGACTATCAGAATAGAAAGAACTATGCAAAAACCCAACATAGAAGTTGCTAGTTACGAAGGTAAACTGGTCCAAAAATAGTTAAGCAAAATAGATAATTTAGTATTTAGGTCAATAAACAAGGACTATAAGTTGAGACTGACTAAAGCACAAAAGATATTCGAGAGTTTTTGTAGCTGAATAGAAGAAGATTTATGCTCAGCAGATATTGAAACTATAAGAATGTTTTTAGATTAGTTAGAAAAGGTAAGAAAGGTAACTTATTTACAAGATTGTCTAGAAGCAATAACAAAACTCTATAGGAAAAAAGATTTTGAAAGCCTAGTAGAGGACTTTAGGATAAAGGAAGTAGTTAGAAGAATTAGACTAGTAAGTACTCAAGACTGTCAAGTAGATTGGCATGAGATCTGATCCTGCTAAAAGTATTGAAGCACTATTATGATAACCTATTAGAAAAAGTAGACCTAGTGATATAGTATCAGAACTTGGTACTGGTCGCTCTGGAATTTAGAACGATACACAGATTTAGAGAGCTATGCAAATTAAAATTTAATAAGTTAGAAAAAAGAAAAGACTTAGTTTGGATTAAGATTAAAAAGGCAAAGAATAATCTATTTGCAAATAGCAAGTTTGTGCTAGTAGAGTCGATAAAGAGTAGATTTTGCTCAGTATATTTATTGAATAATATCTAAGTGTAAGGCTAAGAACTAAGGATAATGAACCTTTGTTTCTGTCGAGTAGGCAAAGAGAAATGTCAGTTTCAGCAGTCTTATCAGTAATTAAAAGAATAATAGAATATGTAAGAATCAAAGGTCATTTTATAGCATATAGTTTATGTATCAGGAATGCAACTTTAGCAATAAATAGTAGAATGTTTTTAACCAGATTAAAACTATTGGAGGTTAGAACTCAGAAGCAGTTATTTTGTACCTGAGAGTAGTAGAGATGGTATGGAGAAGAGCATCTATAAAAATAGAGTTTAAAATTCAAGCTTGTTTTTGTATTTTGCTTTTATTATTATTATTCTTGTTTTCTTGTTTCTGTTCCTTGTTATATTTATACTATGTATAAGTAATAGGCATATGTTTTTACTGAATTTATCAAATTTGCTAGCTAGATAACATATATAGAGGAACAAAAAAAAAAGAAAGAAAAAGAAGAAAGAAAATGCAATTTGATCCTCTTAATGATCTCATTTGTGTCTTTTATAGTATTGTTTATTAGTTTTGTCATTAAGTAACAAATGAAATGCTATGAACAAAATCATAGAGCAGTTATTTGTCATGAGATCAATACTCTAATCACTGATATAACTTGAATGAAGTTCTAATTTTGCATATACAAGTAGTTAGAGAAATAAAATAACAAGATAACATTTAGATAAGTATAAGGTTATATCATAAAGTATATAAAGAAAGTAATTTTGAAATCTGTTAGATATTTTTTTTATTTGCTACAAGCTCGATACAAGTCTAGCTTGTTGTTAATTCTCTCTACTTGCTCAAAAAGATAGGTTTAGGCAGATAAGAACATGGTAGCCTAGCTAGACAAGTTGGATACAAATGATAGTGAGATAGCTTGGATGGACAATTTGGATATTATACAGTTAGAATAGGAAGTAAGCAATAAGAGAACAACTACAAAGAAAATATTAGAATAGGAACGATTCTTGAAAACAGCTGGTAACCATATAATGCAATGAGGTAATATCTCATTTATGTTTTTTGTAATATTGTTTGTTAGTTTTGTGATCGAGTAACAAATTTATTTATTATTAAGAATAAGTAGTTAAAATATATCATTATAAAAAGTATTATTATATTTATTATAGTAAAAATATCATTATATTTATTAAAATTGTTATTATATTTATTCCGAATTAGTAATCATATCATAGTAAAAATTTTTATTATTGGGGTTTGTATTCATATTTTTTAAAATATGAAGTATGTTTGGGATTTGGGATTATATTTGGGATTTGAAATTTAGGATTGTATTTAGGATTTAGAATTATATTTAGGTTTCAGCAAAAGCTCAAATTCTAACCAAAAACAGCCATAAGTCCTAATTAGTGCCAAAAGTATTTAGGTCTCATCACTAGTCATTGCTTTTTTTATACTGAACTATTATTAAATTTTAAATTTTAAGCTCAT